TTCGCAACTTGGCTCGATACTGGAAATCATGACTTGTATACAGAGGACAGAGGACTTGGTCACTCTGATTCTCCAGCCAAGTTGCAAAAACGACGTCGAACCAACACTATAAATCAAAGGTGACTGCGACAAAGCATAAGGACACATAATCTTGGCCTTTATATCTAAATAGTTTTATGTCCCATCAAATCATCCCAACGAGTTAGGTTTTGGTCAACGTTATTTCGCTGCATGTGATAAATTGGGCACCAAAGATGCCATCAAATTAGGATGTCTCTCTATTGCTAGACTTATTTTCTACCGCGGCAAATGACCATGCGTGGTGATCACTATTTACTCAAATTCTGACATGTTCTTCAAAAAAATGTACTTTATCGAATTTTGGATATTAAGTGATGTAGGTACTTCATAAATGCAATGCCAAATCAGTTACCTGCTGAATAACCTGGGCCATTTGTTCACTCTGACATAAGTCTATAGGCCTTTTTCCAAGATCATTTGTGACCATAGGATCGGCCCCGTGCCTAAGAAGAGTTCGCACTACCTGAATGTGGCCAGCCCGGACGGCATCATGCAGGGCGGTATCTCCACGAAGGCCTGCTAAAAGAGGATTTGCACCATGACGAAGAAGGTATCCAACGATTCGTGGATAATCACGTATGCTACACTCATGTAAAGCAGTCCAGCCTAGGAGATAAATAAGGAAAATGAATACATATCGGAATATTTAGAAATATTATTAGTAAATAGTGCCAAATAATACATTATTTTGTGGAATATTAAACATAATAGAAATTATTAATATGCTTTTGAATCAAAAACAGCAAGATACCTGCATAGTCTTGTTCATTTACATTTGATCCTTCTTTAACTAGACGCTTTATGGCAACAAGATCACCTTTTTTGGCCATTTTTATTAAGGCTGTTTCGCCAGTACTGTTCCTTTTACTATGTATTCTTCGGTCTGAGCTATTTGAAATTGGATTGGAAGAGATTGGATGTCCAGTGAGTGAGTTACTGCGATCGCGATGTGCATGATGCCGATCGCCAGCAAATTCGGATGGCTCATTTTGGTGAAGACGGGATGAATGATAATTATCCCCGCCACCTAAGGAAGCGGTTGAAGAATCGCTTGTAGCGCCGTGCGACCCAGATGATCCTACAGAAGAAGATGATGATGCAGAAGAGCCACTAGAGTGCGCTGAAACATTTGAATTATAAAGACCCCCAGAAGTAGATGATGTTGAAGTAGCTGGTTGATGAACAGATTTAGAAGAAGCAAAATGATGAGATGAATCTTTACTAGGAGTACAGCCCATAGAACTTGAGGAAATTGACGGAGATGTGGAAGCCCCATATTGGACTGAGGAAGAACAAGGTGAGCTACTCATAGTTTGCTTGATTCCTTTGGCCATAAAATAAAAATGAAACCATAAATCACAATATTAGATTATACGTAAGAGAATAAGGAAGAATAGAATGGTTTAGTTGTCATTAAATATAAGATTTTAAATATGAAGACCAAAAGGGTATGATCTGCAGTGAGCCTGACCAAAATAAGTAGGACAGCTATACCATTTGGGAATTGGCATACCAGAGTATAGGGTATGGAAAAGTCAAATACTTTACATTGTGAATACAAGCCCGAGAGATGCAGTGGAGAGCAGGGAAATTTGGCTAATAGTAGACGGGCTTGGTCATAGAAGTGGTCCGTGAAGTAAAGGCTCGACCATAAGGTTAACCCGATGCACATGCCGATAAGGGAATCTGTAACATCAAATCAGTTCTTCGTCCACCTTGAGAATCTAGACTTTGGGGGCTCGCTAAGTGAGGCTGGAGGATAAGTGAATGCACCAGGACAGGAAAGGAGCGAAACGTATCAAGTCCAAGGTCCGATTTTGGAAATTATTATGGATATTATGGATTCCTGTCACTCTATCAATACAATCAAGTTGCGAAAACAAGGTCAAAAAACTTCAAATTTCCATAAATCAAAAAATAGAATAGATAAAAAGGAAAAATTCACCATAGAATTATAAAATGAATGTATTTATATCAATGTGTCCTAGTCCGTAAAGACGGAACCGAATTGGGTACAGATTTGCATATGAAAGCCATAAATGAAGATTTCCTATTTGAATTTCTTTTCAAGGGATACTTAAAGGGTTAAGGTAGGAGTTATTAAAGCCAAGGTAGCTGAGAGACTGCGTCTTGCAAAAAGTATTCATTTGGAACAATTGATACGATTAAGAATTTTGGTTGGATCGTTGCCTGAGTAGTTTATTATGCCTTTCCAAACAACGGGGGATGCCAGGCCTCTCGAAAAGAACAGTCAGATCCTTACAATAGTCGCGACAAACATCAGAATACCCTATTTTAGCAGGGCCAAAAAAATTATCAAGGGCCATCATCGTCAGGAGGCTAAGATCCCAACAGATCTCGGCGATAACCTGGTCGGGAACAACACCACTTAATATACCACAAAAGGTAAGATGTCAAATATCTCATTAGCACAGACGCTCAAGTCAGTTAAATTCCTAACATAACGATCGACAGAAACCGCCAATATCCTCTTACCTTCTTAATTGCTGCCAATACAAAAGCAATTGGGACTTTTGGCACCAAATAAATGTACATAGATTTTGTTTCAAAAGGTTATTCAAATAGACTTTCGTTGTGGCGGATCTGCATTCCACTATCCTTGGGATTGATTTTCTCAGGGTACATACACTTTGTATTTATTCAGTCGATAAGAAATTCGTTGATGCCTCCTCTAATCGTTGAACCTCTTTACACCACTCCTTCCAAATGCTAGGAACGGAAAATTCAGCCTGAAGTGAGGTGCTGAGCAGGAATCCGTCTCCAGCCAAAATTGTCATTCGCAGATTTGCAACTAATTGTATAAGTGCATCAAATCTAGACAACTAGTTACCCAGTCTTCCAGTGCCCACGTCAAATAGCCCCGGGCAGACTCAAGAATACTAACTCTGTTCAAGAGCTTAATAAGTGCTGGCATTATTAGCTCATTAAAAAGTGCATGGGCATCTCTACTTCATTTGGCTCAAAATAAAGATAAAAACGAACAGAGACTTTGTGATGATTTTAGGAGACTCATTGCAATAGCGGTCCCAGGCAGCCCCTACCATATGTTATGGATATCGCTTTAACTTTAAAAGGCAGAAGCATTTCCTCCAAAATAGGTCCAAAGCTGCCTATTTCCAGATTCCTGTAAATTGAGATTGCATAAAAAGATAGCTGTGGTCACCCCTTTAGGTTTGTTTTAATTTAACGGGATGCCATTTGGGCTAAGAAATGTCGCAAAGACGTTTCAAAGACTAAGAGACGAGATAACTCGTGATCTAGGAGCTCTGATCTATACCGACGATATACTAATTACTAGTGACCACTCGGAACAACACGAACAACATTATTTTGTACTATAATATATGAAGACCAAGATGTTGTGGCCTCTGATATGGTCGCAGTCTAGCGGAACACATCGCACAGACTGGACATGAGATCAATTGGAGGGTAACGTAAATTAAAGCTCTATACGGTGACAACACAAGGAAGCGGAAGATTAGGGAGGCCATTGACATCCTTGGGGAGAAAAATCTAATAAACAGGAGATTGGAGGAAGGTAGAGTTAGCGATAACTTTGCCTACTGCCTAAGCAAAATCGGGGAAAACAATAGAGCAAGACCAGCAAAAAAGAGACGCCCGGACCAAGGATCTCCCGCTAACCGGAGGAAAAGGGATTGCGATGACGAAAGTGGGGGGAGGGGTTTTCGGCAATTAAGCGAAGAAGTTGTGAGTGATTGATGTCCATTTTGAATAAACCACTACAACTTTGGGGGCCTGGTAGTCAGGGTGCTGGGCAGACGGATAAGCAAACCGTCATAGAAATTAGGCGTTCTGGCCAAAATTCACTAGAAATCCACTTGAGATGCCACATGCGACCAGAGATAGGGGTCCACAGTTTGCTCAGATAGCATGAGTTTAATCAAGGAGAGGATTCGTGTAGGGAAGGCCTAATATCTGCAAGCATGGGATTCAGAGCTTAAGCACTCCGCTCAGTGAAGCGGCAGTGTACATGCTTCTAGGGTCTTGAGAAATAGCGCCTGGAGTGAAATGCACACAGGCACTGGACCCGAGTGAAATCGGTCAACCAGAAAGATGAGGGACGGATCTACGAGACAATGAAGGGATCCGGATTAAAGGCCTGAGTCAATTAAGCCCATCGAAAGAGGGGTCAGGGTAAATAGCAAGTGTGATGAAGCT